GTAATTAAGCACTAACTGGAACCCGGGGGACCGCTGTGTGCACACGTTCACAACGCGAACAATACTGTTCAATACGGCTTCGTGTGAAAAACCCGTATATGACCATAGGAAACAGAACACCGCAGTCTCCAATTACCCAGACTGTAAGCACGGGAATAAAGCTTTGTTTGATTTCTGAAACCCTTCCTTTATGTCCTGTTTTCATTCAGGTAAGGGTCAACTATATTCACAATACTACTGACAGCAGGAAGATTAAAATATTATTTACTCAGCAGCTTATTAAAAACAGCTCCCATTATGTTCAAACCGACTTTTTACACAGAACACTGACACAGCTTTGTGTTCTGAATCTCTTTTTCTCCTGCTTTTATTTAATGTGGCACAATGCACGGGGATAGGGGTATTCTGTTCACAAACCACTAGCATTTAAACCACAGCACCCACAATGCTGCAAGTACGTGTTTTGGACACTAAGCAGGTCCTCTGACTTTCACCAGCTTTGCTTTGGGTTGTGGAACCTTTCTTTATTTTTTATGATTTTTTGAAGATAACACTACAGGTAATATACTGGGATAGGTGGGTCTTCTTTCATGACTCAATAGCATTTCAAGTGCAACAGCCACACTGCTGAAACCAAGTGTTTTACACACTAGACAGCCCCCCTAACCTTATACAACCTTGCTGTGGCTGTGGCTCCTTTCTTTATTTTTTTAATGATTTTCTGAAGATAACACTACAGGTAATACGCTGGGATAGGTGGGTCTTCTTCATGACTCAATAGCATTTCAAATACAACAGCCACACTGCTGAAACCAAGTGTTTTACACACAAGACAGTCCCCCTAACCTTATACAACCTTGCTGTGGCTGTGGCCCTTCTTGTTCCACAACTCAAAGCAAGGTTGTATGAGGTTAAGGTTAGGGGGACTGTCTGGTGAGTAAAACACTTGGTTTCAGCAGTGTGGCTGTTGTATTTGAAATGCTATTGAGTCATGAAGAAGACCCACCTATCCCAGCGGATTACCTGTAGTGTTATCTTAAAAAAAATAGCTCACTGATAGTTTGATATAGAGGCTGTGTAAATTTCCACAAGTCGTGGTCTTTAAAATGCATTTGGTTTGAAGGCGTTCTGTGCTTCCATTGCGAAGATATGGACAAAAGAATATTCGTGCTTGGTCAAAAAAATGTAATAAAAACGAAAAAGTAAAGGCTGAGAAAGAATTCACAATGTACTTTATACACAAAGCAAGTATTCTCGCAACTCTAAGAGGTTTCGTGTAAAAGCTACAGGCGTGCCAAAATCGTTTTCGAACTTCAAGCTAACTTTACCCCGGTCCCCTCATAAATGTACATGCGCTTTACTAAACTAAGTCCTTTCACTCGCTGCCACGAAAGTCCCGTGCGTTTACAGAAAAAAATAACAGCAATTATAGAACAGACCCCGGTTATGTGTGGTACAGATTTCCAAGGGGAACTGAATTGGACACGCCAATGCTGCCGCCTGCTGGTGAAGATTGTGAATGGCATGCTTTAGTAGGAGCAAGGACAGCCTTAAAACCACCTTCAATTTTTTTACCTGAAGTCTAAAATTAACTGCACATATTTTAGACGAATACTCTAACTGGAATTAAGTGTGTTGTTTTCAAACCATCTCCTGCGTCAAGGAGCAGACATGTTGTTGGGATTAGTTCCAAGACACTAAAATGAATTATATTTTTATTGTCTGCTTTAATGTTCCTATTTAGACAATACCTTCCAGAAAATAGTTTTTGTGGAAAAAATGCACGATTGTTTTTCTGGGTTGCACTAGTGTTATCAGTTAACCTGTACGCAGAATAAACAAAAAATCTGTACAACATTTACAGACCATTAGCGAAATACTAGCACATCCCTATTAAAAAACTATACGGACCCGTGAGAAACGCTAGGCTCTGGTATTCAACAAGTGACAAATACAGGAAAATGCCATTTTAAACATCACATTTCTAATATATTAATTTAAAGTATTGGTTTCGCTAACACAGTGTTGGCATTTTTTTACTGGTTTGATTGAAAATGTAAAATCTTTAAAGTGTCTGACAAAAAAGTGCGCATAATTCCGAAATTTTGTGGAGATTTCTTTGAAGGATAATTTGTATACGTGTTTCGTAAATTAAATCGGAAAGGCATTATGAATTGAATAAAGCTTTGCAAAGCAATATTCTATTAAAGAGCCAGATTTGAAATTTAAGAGCATAAAATTCATACAGTAGGAGCAGAGGCTATTCTGCACCTTTATTTCGTATGATTGCAGTCGTTTCTTAACAGAAGCCAGCATATCAGCTTTAACATCATCACTGGGTAGCTTGTTCTATACTCCCACAACCCTTTGTGTAAAAAAATAACCTATTCTCTATTTTTAACACATGTTTCTGTAGTTCCTAGTCATTTTATTGGTTCATGTTTCACTGTTACTATGTCAAAACGTCTGTTGTTGTGACGTTGTCAATGCTTTTGAGCATTTTTAATGTTTAAATTATGTTCCCTCCTAGTCTTTCCTGTTTAAGATGGTTCCTTTAGCCTATCAATGCAGGAGGTTAATTTGAGACCAGTAGTTCTTTTCTGGGTTGAGTCTATCCAAACATCCATTTTCTAATTGCTTCTTCCTATTTAGAGTTGCAGAGGAGTCTAAGGCACAAGATTGGGTACACCCTGGACAGGATGCCAGTCCATCGCAGGGCACGCACAGACACAAACCAGGGCCAGTTTTCCCATAAGCCAATTAACCTACCAGTATACCTTTGGCCTTTGGGAGGAAATCAGACCCAGAGGAAACCCATGCAAACATAGGGAGAACATACAAACGTCATGCAGATAGTTCTCTGAAATTAAACCTACAGTATGGCCCTAGCTCTGTGAGGCAGCAATGCTTATGTACCACAACACCATCATGCTGCCCTTAACTAATTCAAGAGCAGTTTTTTATTTTGTATCATAATGACCAAAATTGTACATAATGTTCTAAATGAAGTCTTACAATGGGCAAGTACAATTAACACCCCTTTAGAAAAGATAAGATCACTTTTATCGGGCATATACAATTTCTTGCAGTAGGAGTTTGTCTTTTCACATGCACTTGCTTGCTCTCCATGAGACACACAGACAGGGAGAGAAGCTTGGGGTCAGAGCCCAGGGTCAGCCATTGTATAGCACCCTTGGAGCAGTCAGGGTTAAGGGCCTTGCTCAGGGGCCCAACAGAGTAGGATTCCTCTGGCAGCCATAGGATTTGAACCAGCATCCTTCCAGCCACAGCACAGAGCCTTAGCCACAGAGCCACCACTCTGCCGCTTTACTGCTATTCAGTTCTTTTAACTACACAGTACAGTATAATCTATCACTTTTGTATTGCTTCCCTATATTGTACATCTATAAAAACACCTACTGTACAGTAGGCCTTTTTCATACAGTATGTAGCTTTTTCAGCTCTGTATTTTCCATCTTACGGTATCTTCTACCTGCATGTAAAACTCTGTACGTGACTTAATTAAATGTCATCTGCACGACATGAAGTGGTTGTTTTGCAACTCCTGAATCTTGTATAATTATTTTAAAATTATTTTGTTGGTTCTGTGACGCATGCTAATTCTATTTTTTTGGTATCACTTGTGAATTTAACTAATTTACTATGTGAACCAAACTCTATATCATTGGTCAGAATACTGATAACTATTATCCCTAATTATAAGTCTCTGTAGCACCATGCTGATTACATCAGTCCAGTTTGAGTATCATCCCATATCTGTACTCTGTTTTGAATGACCTCCTTTTTATCTACCTTCAATTTAAGAATTAATCTTTTATGGGGAAATTTATTAAAAGCATTCAGAAAATCTTAAAATCGTACACTATGTTCTGTTTGTCTATATGCACATATATATCATTTTCTTTAGTCCAGATACAGTACTGTAATAGTTGATCATCAGTCCTCGGAGATTTAAGTGTAAGTATAACAATTGTCTCTGTCATTCCAGTACTATTTAACATAAAACTTTCCTCAGACCGAGACATATCCTCAGTCCCAGCCAATTTCTTCTTTGGGAGTGAAATTTGTTCAATTCATCAACTATTTTCATGTCATCTTTTGAAAGTTAACTAGATTCCAAGGCTCGTACTGTACGTTCAACAAATCTAATACCAAATACGTTACGCATCAACTGTAAGTTGTGGTTCTTATTGCAAAGAAAATACATTTAAAAATGAAATGTAAATGAAGTATTTCCAACCAACACAGACATTTAATGAAATATTTTTTTTTCGATAGAGTAAGATATTGGACAGCCAAATCTCCAGATGTAGCGGCAGTCCTGTCCTTCAGTCCCGACGCTGGCGTCAGGTTAGTACGAAAAGCTTCCCGTTAACGGACACCGCGCCGGTCAGAACATCCTGTCATTACAGACGAATACTGTATTATTGAGCGAGCCTTCCCCTCCTGGCAAAGTCGCCTGTTTGAGCTGTTGGCCGCTACTACTTGGAATTGTCTCACCCTCTGTTTAGGGAAGTTGTCCAGTATTGTCATTCATCGGGGAGGAAGTTGCGCATATTTTTAGTGATTGAGGAGGAGGATGTGTGAATTGCCGCCTTGTGGTCTAGTATTTTAGGTTTACAACCCACACCTGGCTGTGTGAAAAGATAAATTTGGCAACAAACAGGAAACTGTTTTTTTTTTGCGCGTCGTTTTCAATTATATGGTTGAACACTTTTTCAGACAAGTTGGTACAGTATATTAATTCGCCTTTCTGTCTTTCCACTTCGCCTCTTTTTACTTAACTATGAGATCTACTTAACACATCAACCTAGAGCCAAATGCAACCGTCAACTGTGAGGTTCCTAGCACCTTTTGTAGCTATAATGTACTGTAAAAGTCAACGACATTTCTGTTTTCACTGTTTGCTGCGTCTGGACTGTGTTTTATGTCGCACGTATCCCGTAGTTTTTAATGTTCTTTAGTATTCCGGAAAAGTTCTTTTGTGGGAAATCCGCTTTTTTTCTGTTAAGTTTATTGAGCGTTAATGCGTTTTTTATGTGTGTAAGATTCTTCTCCATCAGTCCTCCCCAAGAACTGTGAACTCTTGCTTAATACTCTTGCTCATCTCCTTACTGCTGATCCTTTCACTGAGGGTTCCCAAGACTGAGAATGACCTCCGTCTATTCTGCGTTTTGCTCTAGCTAACTTCTAGCTAACTTCTTAATCTGATTACTGAGTTTTTCATTCTGTGCGTATTTTTAAAAATGTGCTTTTCTCTCTTGAAAGGTTGGATGGTATTTAGAATTGGAAGCAGCCCTACAGCCGACAGAGGTTCTACCTATTCAATTATGCTGCCTGAATCGTGACCAGCCGTACTGTACCTCTGCTGAAGGAAAAAAAAACAACAACAATTATTGTTGAAGTGGTTCAGACAGTGTTCGAAACTCGTCACCTTTTAGAAGAGCTGTTAACTTAACAATAAGGGTGGACACGTTTGAGGAGGGGTGGCACTGGTTGGCACTGGTTGGTGCTAAGGCCTCGATCTGGGGTGCTATCTGCGTGGAGTTTGTATTCTTAACGTGTTCATGTGGCTGTCCTCCGGGTGCTCTGCAGTCCAAAAAAACAGTAGTAGGGTAAGTGACTTCTGAGAAAATGCTCTGACTTGTCTTTGTTTGTTTCTGTGTATACCCTGTGATGGAGTGGAGTCCTGTCCAGGAATTCCCTTTATGCCCTTTGCTTCCCCGGATTCCCTTTGGAAGAAGGGGTTTGAAATTGAATGGATGGAAGTTTGAGGAGAAAGGTCTTACTTCAACATTGTGCATTTACAGGTGTTTCTGAAACTTGGGATTGAGTGTAGAATCAAGTAAACCAACAGTCTGAACCGGCACAGGGATCAATGTAAGGTGTAAACTGGAACTGTTGTTTTAGAAGCTGGGTGGAATAAAAATCAGCAGACCCAGGGGTGCCTTACTAGGTTTGAGAACTACTGCACTAAAGAGAAGGAAGAAAATATGCTGTCTAAATAAAGGCATAAAGGAAGACATTTTACGTCTAAGCGGTTGGTCCCTGGTATACAAAACGTTTGAGAAACACTGATGTAAGAAATAAAATAAAATCTTAAAGTTTAATTAGGTTGCACGAATCTCTTTGCACCCATCAGTGAGGCCCATAATTAATAAGGACACCTGCATTTGGGCTGCGTGGGTGAGACTTTATTCCGCCCACGACAAAAAAAAATATCACTTGAAAATTGTCACCCCACTTATTTTTTACATCTCGTCCTTTGAAAATCCCTTTTTGCTCAGTTATTATTTTCAGTAAAGCACATGCAGCATCGCGGTAAGCCTGGCTGGAGATACATCCTAGAAAGACCAGAATACGTTTTTGCTTTCATACCGGGAGGGAGGAATAATACGGGCGCTGAGCTTCCCGGCTGGATAAGGGATTGTTAGGGCTGTGCTATTTCACATTAAGGTGTACTCTATATACGTAACGGATAAATATACGTTATATATAAGATTGTGCTGCATTGTGTGAAAGAACGTTTAACACGTTCAACATGTTTAACGCGAGTTTTGGAATAGAGGCAATACTGTAAAATACAACAGCAGCGCCCCACCCATATTTGTCTTATGGTCCGGGGACTGGTTTTCAGGTAAATGGGTTGAGCCAAATCGTCAATAAACATTCTCATGCACATCTAATTCTTGGGCGTCGTTATTGCTTTTAAGCTGTCTCCTCTCTCCTACTCTTTTGCGTTTTAGACACAGTCTTTTTAGTCTTTTCTCTGTCCTCAGGTTTTGAGTTTGTATTTAATTCTTTTAAAATATTGGTCAAATTGTGTAACAGTATCTATTCTAACAGTGAAACGGACGGTTACCGTTTTTGTCACTGCAACGTTTTAAATGTTTTTAATCAAATCGGAACTACAGTAGTGTCCTGCCTGAATGCTCTGCCTGCTGTATATTATGTTGCTACAGATAAAAAGCAAGATGCTAGTTTTTGTTTACTTAGCATTCTCTGGGCCAGGGATGATGCTGTTTTAAAATTTTAAATCCATATTAAACGTTCACATAGTGCTGGGTGTTGTAAAAATAATAACATGTTCCAATAACCAAAAGTTTTTGTTATATGGAGGAAAACTTAGTAATGTATTTAGAAATGTTCATAAATGTAACGGTTCTGCAGACACTATTTATGTTAATGCAGGAAAGCTTCTAATGACAAAAGTTTATTTAGCATCATTCTTCGTATCCGCCCCCACATCATGTAAATGAGTACGAGGTTCTCGGATAATACGCTATTTGCATGCGGACGAGATGCTGCTTTTTCCTGATTTCATGTGTTAATCCATCTAATCACAATCTTCACATGATTTTATCCTCTGTTCCAGAAGATGGCAGAAGAACGGCTATATTTAACAAAAGAAAAAAAGGTGAAATCGCTTTTATGATGTGGATTCGTAAATACGAAAATCAGAGAAAACTACAAGTCCCAGAAGCCCTACATCGGCCTCCTCCGCTCAAAAAAAAAAAGCTTTTGGGAAAGAATCCCTGGAATTTGTTTCCTGTGAAACCTAGCCAGAGAAATTGAGTTGCAAAGCGATGGAGGCGGACTGTGCTGCTGTTTGTGTTGAAGGAGCGGGGTCCGGCATGGGGCTTCATCGGATCGCCGTCCCAGTTTAGAACGCCAGGGTCCCCCAACTCAGCCATGGCAGAGCCCTTACTTAGAAAGACTTTCTCCAGGCTGCGGGGCAAGGACAGATTCCGGAGGAAAACGGACCCTAAACTTGGAGGTAAGGATGCGAATTTCTAAGAGGCTTTTGTGGTTTTCTTCTTAACTGCATTAGAATAAACTTTTTTTTCGTGAGAAAAATGAAGTGCACGGCACAACATTTTTATTTTGATTAATTTCTACTATGAATAAATTAAAATATAATGCGCTCTGTGATTAAAAGATATAATCCTGATATTTAAATTAAAAAGTTGTTGCAGCGTTACAATACATTATTTGCTTATTTGCTCATATACGCATATGCTTGCCTTTCCTTTCTGTAAATATATCGTACTGTTTGCTCTTTCAGTTAATGATTGAACACTTCGCGGTGGAGTAGCATTGAGAAATACTACTGTAGATCATTTCGCAGGACAGAAATTATGTGAAAGAAATATTTTCTTTTAGTCTGTTTCTGACTTTCAGTATCACTGGATGTAAGTTAACATAGTTTTTCACGGAAAACAGGATAAGGTCTCGTAAGGGAGGGCACCGTTAGACAGGAATCGAGAACTCCAACTCAAAACGCGTTTGTGCGCAAATATGCGTCTTACATAACTATCTCATTCATGAGCCAGAACCGCTAATCTGTCAGGGAGGGGCCGTGTCACCCTAGGGATTCTGTCCAGTTGAGCTGGGGCGCGGCCTGTCAACAAGGGAATTATTCCCAACGCTGGAGCGGAGTACCCCTTTCGGGTCAGAAAGTATCGTTACGCCCCTAGCCGCCTGTGTGCTGATAGGCACAAGACAGCTCAATGACAGCTACCCACAGCCCGCTCACCTTTGGTGTAAACATCCTAAGTACACAGCAGCGCTGAAAGGAGTTCTGTGCGCAATTAGAAAACGGAAGGCTTCGTGTTTGCAAGCGTATTGACTAATGAACAGCTACTTCATCGCTTTTTTTAACTTCTGTCTACAAAGGAGTCCAGACGTTGGAAAAAAGTTTTGCACAGCAATATAAATTAACCAGCCATTGCTTAAGATTTATGCGGCTTTGTTTAACGTGGTTTTAATTTGGAATGATTAATCCGGCACCATTAATTTCGTTATATATGAACTCGCACGGGGAAAAAAATCATATAACCAAAAGATACAGAACCAGATTATAATTTATGGCTGTATTGTTTGTCAGACATTGCAATGCATGCCGATTTACGGAATTGTAGAACTGATTATAGATAGACGAGGTTACAAATTTACATTTCGAAATTGAAAAAAACCCCACAAATACTATTTTCTTTTCTATAACTTTTTATATCTAATTATATGCAGTTCTCTCTGTTTAACATTATTTGTTGTGGAATAGAAATATATGAATATTCGTTTGTACAGTACCTAAACTTTTCAGTCACGTTTTTTTATGCATTTCCCAAAGTTGAAACGAGCTAAAGATAATTATTTTAACTTCACATTGTCTTAGGATCTATAAATGTAAAGCTTCTCAATGGTATGAGTCTGCAATTTGCTTTTCCTTACAACTGCCCAACAATTCTAGGAAGGAGTCTTTACAAATTTTTTTTTACTTTAATGGAACAGTTGTATAACCTGTAGAATTCCGCACATAGGAAACGCAACAAGGGAATTATCTTCCAAGATTACTTGATTTAATTCAAAATAATAAAACAGTGAATATAGCATGTGCAAAAGTTTGGGCACTCAGTCAGTACTTATTAATTTCTCCACTAGCAGAAATCTATACTTGCTTTTTCAATTTTTTTCCCACTCTTCCTTGCTGAACTCTTCAGGCTCAGAATTAATCTTAGGTCTTTTTGCGTGCACTGCGTGACTGATATCTCCCCAAAGCTTTTCAATAATATTCATGTCTGGGGACTGTGAAGGCCATTCCAAAACCTTAATCTTTTATTCCTGTAAGTACCTCATGGTTGATTTCAGCTTCAGTTTCTTCAATAACTTTGGGATATTTGCTTCTAGAATTTGTTGATACTGTATTTAGTCCATTCTTCCTTCCACCTGCACAATACTTCCTGTGCCACTGGCTGCCACACAACCCCAAAGGAGAATAGATCCACCCCCATGCTTAACGGCTGGCAAGGTGTTCTTTTTTCAAAAACATCGCCCCTTTTTCTCCAAATGTATGTTCTGTGGTTGTGGCCAAAAAGTAAAATTTCATTTAATCAGTTCTATGGGTTCTGCTTTGCAAATCTGACCAGTTTTTGAGTAGAGCTATCAGAGGTTTTTCTGGGTCATCCAGATCTTGCCTTGGCTTCAACAGTTCCCTTTAACTCCCATTTCTTAATGATTGCAACTGCAGTCTCTGACAGTTGAAATTGCAAGCTGGAAGCATTTAAAGACCTTTTTATAGTCTTCCCCTGCTTAGTAAGAGTAAATTATTTATATTTTCAAGTTCTTAGACAATTCTGGAGGAGCCGATGGTTATAGAAAGCAGTCAGAACAGCAGTCGGAACCTGAGTTGTTAGAAGGGTAGAGTATTTTTATAACCCCTAAACTTGTCTTTACCTGACTTACAGGTAATTGGCCTAATGAATCAATCAAGTTTTGGGGCCTTTGAAAAACAAAAACTAAAAAGTAGTAATGAACTGGAAGGGATCAACTGGATCCTGAGTGCCCAGTCTTTTGCACATGCCACATTCACTTTTTATTATTTTTGGACCTGTTAAAATAAACAAAAATAGTAAATGTGTATTATAATTTGCAGAAAGAGGTTTGGTTTAACTTTGTCCCATGTAGAGGTTGTGTCATCTTCTGTTCACTTTGAGATTCATTGAAACACAATTTAACCAGCTTTGCCCAAACCTTTGCACACAACTGTATATTCTGTTTAAAATGCACACATTGAGCCAATAGATATTCGGTCCCAGGACGTTGCTGTGTCCTGTTGGGAGGGATAGGACATTTGAGACTGGTGTCACCTTTTTAGAAGATAGCAGGTGTGAATAATTGTCCCTCGTTCTCAGTTTGTCAGCTATTCATAGCCCATCCTGCTGACAGTGGAAGTGGCTGTGATAGTGAAGTGCCAAAATGAATTCCAATAAGATTGAGTGAGTTCTTGGGCATGTTGGCACTGAGCTACTTGCTCTGTATTAATAGGTGTTCTTTTTCATAATTGGAAGGTGATAGTGTGACAGGCCAGCAGTAATTAGAATAGGAGTTTCATTTGACCTCTATTAGCCCTTTATTTTAGGTCTCTATTGTGTGTCTAAGTAGGTTATCTGTGATCCATTATTGATTAATTAGTTAATTGGTGAAGGTCAGAGAGCCACATTCTCTCATGGGTTTAATTTAGACTAGTTTAAACTATAGGTTTTTAGTTTAAGTTTGGATATGGAATTCACTGTAGTTGGTGAATTCCTACAGTAATAGTTGGTGTTGGTTTGGTAAGACTAGATCTGTATCTTAAAGAATTTTGTTATAATAAAGTGCAGCACAGTGGAGTAATGGTTTGAGTTGTCTTGTATTTCTGGGTCCCTGTGTTTAAATCCCAGCCTGGTAGCTGAGCAGAGTTTGCTTTCTCCCCATGTTCAAGTGGGTTTCCCTCTGCAATCCAAAGGCATAATGATAGGTTAACCGGCTCCTGGGAACTTTGGTCCTGGTGTGGGTGTGTGCAGGTTTGTGTTTGTGTCTTTGAGTGCTCTGTGACAGACTGCCCATCCCATCCAGGGTGTATCCTTCCTTGCGCCCCTGCAACCTGGTATTATAATAATAATAAACCTTAATTTTTAAATTAATTTAAATTAATCTTTAAAGGCGGCTTCTCAAAGCACTTTAATTATTGAATAGAGGGGTTCAAAAAATGGTTGGATGGATGTTGGACTGAAATCTCCTTATATTTTTCTTTCCATGGTGGTTTTTCTTATGTGCTCAGGTCACTTGCTGAGAGGTAGGAATGCCACAGAGGTACAAAATGAAGCCCCAGCTGCGTTGTACTGTCTCAGTCTAGTGGCTGTGGTCGTGTAGTACAGTACATTCAGTATCCTGATAGAATCCATAACCCCCCCTCCGCAGCTCAAAGAGTCAGAACAGACAGTAGGAGTGTAAAATGTAAATCATAAACACATTTATTATCTTTGCTGAAGATCATATGTACATTTTTAGAAACAGACTAAAAGTAAGGGTTGCTTATCAACGTCCTGTTCATCTTGGCCAAGGGGTTTTCTGCACTGGTCAAGGGTTATACTGTGTGGTCTGTCTGAACTCATTTACTTATTGAATCCTTTAATTGAACTACTTGCGTGAACTACATTTGTTACTGGTTGCAGCTCTTCAACTGTTAGTGTTACAAAAAAAAGCACTAACCTTGCAGCAGGATTTATAAAACATATTTAGATGGATTTTTATAAGTGGCCAGGCCTTTGGATTTTTTGGTTTTGTTTCTTGTTTCCACAGTGTGTGTTTCAAGAATGTACAATGTAAAAGTAGCCACCTCTGTGATGTATGTCACACGGGGTACCAAGACTGAAGGAACAGCTTGATAGCACAGCTTCCTGTTCTCCCTAATTTAAGGAGAATTTGGCTTTTTTCAGAACTGGAAATGAAATATCTGATGTAAGAGTCAAGAAGACAATAAGTGCTTTTGTAGTGCAAGATGAAGAGATCAGAGAATATAGCTCGTTCTCCCTTGAGGCTTCACCTCCTGGACTTGCGCTTACTTTATGCAATATCAGTTACAATGGTATTGCCATTAACTGTGATTGTGAAATACAGTAAGTGATATTCCATGTTTTCAGAAAGAAGCATCTTGTGATGTTTAATATGTGCAGAGCAGACACGCTTGCTTGCTGTCCTTGTGCTAGGCATTGGTTTGCATCGTTCTGCTTCAGGCGAAACAAGAAACCCAAACCAGACATCACTAGTGGAAACTGTTGTATTGTTCACATAGAATAGGAAGCACTTCTTTACACAAAGTGTTTTGGCGGTATAGAACAAGCTATCCACCTATGGTTTTGTAGTTGATATCCTGGATTCTGTTAAAAGGCTGGATTAGATCCTGGGATTTGGATTAGCTACTGAAAAAAGTTATTAGGTCTCCTCTCATTGGCAGAT